CCTCTCTGCGGTTCTCAGCCACAGCTGACCTACACTCCCTCTCCAGCTTCTGGTTTCCAGGCGAGGGTGCCCGAGGCTCTGGCCCGCGGCCCACGGCGCCGCGGGGCACGCGAGCAGGGCTTCGCTATTCTGTTTCCAATTTGCAGGCTGAAGGTAAAAGTACACTAATTACATCCGCGCTGGGAGCGGGCGCGGAGGCGAGCGGCGGAGGCAGCGGCCCGGCTGCCTGTTGCCCAGCAACGACCCAGCCGCAGCCGCCTGCAGAGCCGGGCGGGCAGCCGGGCGGGGGCGGAACCTGAGCGGAGACCCGTGAGACCCTCTGTTCCACCCTGAGGAGCTAAGAAAGACTCTTTTTAATACTGATACTGAAGATCAACACCCCCTCTCCCCCTACCCACCACCCTCCTGCTTCCCTCCACTTCTCTTTAACCAACAAAGGAAAGCAAGCCAACCTTCCCCAGGGCTGCCTGGCCGGAGTTGCTTTCCTAAAGAAGCAAAGAAGCCTAGCCTCAGCCTTCAGGCCCAGCAGGAACAGTGCTCTGCAAGGCCAGGCAAATTCCCCTTGGCTGGCCCGGAGGCCTGGTAGCCGGGGAGGCTGCAGGTGGTCAAGTGTAGGTGGCAGCTTTCATCATAAGGAGAACAGTGCCCTCTGCTGGCGGTGTCTTGGAGAGTGACAGTCACTCGGCTCCTGGGCCCTCCAAGTCTTGGTCTGTGGTACCAATACCCAACACCTATGGTGCGCTTATTCGTGCCCTCTGAAATAATAACGGTGTGGGCAGGAGATAAACTGGGGCACGGAGACAGGGACAACATGAAAGGACGGGCGCGGTTGGTGTCCATTTACTCTGGTGGCTCCCCGATCTCACAGGCGAAAGCAGAGAAGCCTTGTACTTCCCCATGGGAAAACCCAACTCAGAACCGAAGGGCAATTTAACCGGACAATGGCAGACGCTGCTCCCCAGGCCCATTGGGGCCTGGGAGTGCTTTGTCTAAAATATACTATTTCCACTGGCCTAATGGACCCCACTAAGTGTGTTTCTAAGAATATCACAATGGGAGAATGTGGTGGGGCCTGTACAGGGCAAAAGGCAGAAATAAGTAGATTCCATCCAGAATGCATCTAGAAGCCAGCTGCCCTGCTAGACTGAGAATCTTGGAGCAGAGGCTTAGCAGTGTTCAAAGCATAATGTTAGAACCCGAAACTGCCTCAGCAGGAGCCCCATATGTTTTTTATAAAAAGGCACAATGTGAGCATTGTTCTGTGCTCAATAGCACGACTGTTATAACTAATGCTTTTGCTATGAATACGACCATTTAAAATTCCCAACCAGTTGCACTTAGTGACAATACGCATCGGAAAACAAGCCCAGAGCAGAGATTTCTCACTTTGGGGTCAGTTGGCTTTAAATACACATACACATGCTTTTTAATGTGCCCACTGAAAAACACACTGAACGTGCGCATGAACCATGCTCTTCTCCCTGGTGTTTGCAGCTACAAATGCTAAAGATTTTCACATGTATATTTGAGAACTTAACATTGATTTTGTGTATACTGGGTTGATGCACAAATAGAGGTAAGTGCCTGTCCTGTTTCTCCCTCTAACTCCCCCCGCCATCTCCAGCCCACTCCCAGATCAGCATCTCTACCACACAGCTGAGCTGCCTCGCCAGGCCCCCATGCCTCACCTTCTGCTCCCACCCCCAACTACCCTCCTCAAGCCTGGCTGACCCAGTGAAGTCTCCAAAGGAGAGTAGGATAAATTCAATTTTGAGAACCTAATTGGAAGAGGAAGAAAGCTCTTGGAATGAATGTCCCCAAATGTCCAAGTATACTGGGCATTTGTCAGGGTTCCCAGACAGCAAAGCACTTCAACTCATTTTCCATTTGCGGACTTTATCCATTGACTCTTGAAGGGAGGCGGTACCCCACTTCCACTACTGAGGTTGGGGGCTTGGGTAAAACCAGCAAAGGAGACCTGGACTTAGCCAATGAGGCCTCCGCTTTGGTAGCCATGCAGTCACCGGAACAGTTAGGGATTACTGGTAGCGGTGGAGTTGAGGGCCCAGCATCCCCCTGGTCCCTCCTGTTTCTAAACCTGGTTCTCCAGTCTTCCTAGCAATTCCCAGACCTTACTGATATCCTCCAACAAATCCCTCTTCTGCTCTAGTCAGATAGGGTTGGTGTCTGTAATCAGTGAACAACATCCTTACCCCAAACTATGTTTCAGGTGACATACACACTTCTCACATCAAGTTTTATTGGGGGGGGGCTATTTTGCATCTTAAGTTGAGACTCTGACTTGTCTCCTCTCCCTCTACCCAACCCTGACCAAACCCCTCGCTTGTCCCAAAAAGGGGGAATACTGCAGTTTTTTATACCCATGAATTAATTGCCAAATAATCCACAAAACTTGGTTGAGGCCACATGACAATACTTAGAAGTTTCCTGGGAGGGCCTGCCCTGGGTCATTCCCACCCCTAGGGTAAAGCACCGAATAAACCAGCGTCACCTCCAGCTGTGTGGGTGAAAGTGGGAGTAATGCTCCCCACCTCCACCGCCCTTAACTAAATAAACAGAGGGGAGAAGGGAGGTTTATCCGGAGGATGGGTCCCTGGGGGCGAGGCCAGCCTGGGAGATGGGGGTTGATGGCCAAGGCCGCTCCTCACGGCATCCAGTTGGTCCTGAAGAAGCCGGACCCGCTCGTCCAAGCTGCGCTGCTGGGCCAGGACGGCGGCCTTGCCGGCCAGGAGCGCGCAGTAGGCGCGCAGCTCCCTGGCGGGCAGCGCCCGCACCAGCACTTCGCGCAGGGCCCGCTCGCGCCGCGCCACGTGCTCCTTCAGCTCCCTGGCGTCCTCCTCCTGCCGCTG